CTGGCTGGCTGGGGAATTCTGGGAGTTGAAGTCCATACATCTTCAAGTCGCCAAGGTTGAGGAACCCTGCTTTAGAAGGTCCAAGGTTGGGGATGATTGAATTGAATTTAGGTAGGTAGCTATGAATTTAATTAATTTTGCTTAATTAAAATTGTTAATTAAAATCTTCTACGCTGGTAACACATCGGCTTTTTTGAGACCTACTTGGTTTGAATCTTTTTGAATTCATCAGAGATGAAAAAAAAAAAGAGTACTTCTTATGACAATTGTGTGTATGTGTGCAGATGTATTTTCTTACCCTAGTTTCTGAATTCTGACAAATGGAGTTATTTATTACAAATAGAGTTTTTTATCTCATCTCCTATGGGGAAAATCTGTCTTTCCACATGAGACAAGCCAAGCAACTTGGACAAAAAACCCCCAGCTTTTCCCAGCTGGTGAGGCTTCCAGTCCCAACAGATCTAGAGGTGCCAGATTGAAGAAAGTTGCTCTAACTCATAGTAAGACACTATTGAATGTTCAGAAGCAAATCCCTGCAGTTTTCCTCTGCTTTCAGAGGGATTTATTTCTTTAGTATATTTATAGGCCACCCATCTCATATACGTGACTCTGGGCAGCTCACAGTAAAACAGAATAAAAAAACAATAAAAGCAACCAGAGTTAAAAAGAACAAAAATAGCATAAAACTAGCAGCCGAGGAGACTCACAAACCCTCAAACAAGCCATGACACGGGCTCACCCAGGCTATCAGGGCCCCAGGCTCAATGGCAAAACCAGGTTTTTTAGTTCCTTGCAAAAGGCCAGCAGGGTTGGGCAAATCTTGTTTCTGGGATGATGTTCCAGAGGACAGGCACCATGGCAGAAAAAGTTCTCCTTCTGGGTCTCAACAGAAGATACCCTCTTGCAGACAGGACCCCAAGCATGACTCTCCTGCCAGATCTAACAGGATGGGTAGACACCACTGGGGAGAGATGATTCTGTAAAAGGATTGTAGTAAAGGTAGGCAAATAGCAACCCCAGGGGTCCTGTGCAGCCCCCCTCCTATTTTTGTGGTCCTCAGAGTCCTTTCCCACAGATCCGTTACAAACCAGCTCAGCGGCTTCCTGCCATTTGAACTAAACATATTTGGAAGAGGGAAGCACATGAAAACTGTAGTTGAAACCCTAAAAAACTTACCATAATTTTAAATGCAAAGGACTTCACTCCCATCAACTCTCCCTGGGGAGGATCCACCCTCAATGTGTGTAACAAAGCACCTTCCACTTTCTATCAACTCCTCATCTCTGGAGGCCTCCCCTTCCATGAAAGTTAAGAACCCCCATTCACCAAAAGATTGCCCACCCTGAGTGACAGGAAGCTGTGTTATACCAACTGAGGCTGTGGCTGTGTTAACACCACACAGTTAGACTGGCCAAGCAAAGTCCTGGCAGAAGCAGCATCCATCTTGGTTAGGTTTTTTGTTTGTGTGTCTTAGCTTGGTTAGTTTATTATTCAGGTTTTTTGTACAAACTAATCCAAGGAAAATAGATCAAACTGTATTCCATAAATGCACCGTCTAGGTGTCTTACCCGATTCTTTGGCTTATGGGGTGGGGAGACTCTTGGAACTCAAGCAGAAAAAGAGTCTTTTTCATCATGTTCTACTTGAAAATGTTGCATGTAGATTAGATACTATGGTCTCCCCAATGCGTAGCTTCTCAGTCCCAGTATCTCCCATTAACTGGCTCATATTTAAATCAAAATGTTCTATTATTTATGCAGGGGGCAAATTCCCTTCCTACCTCTTTTGAAAGGCCAGGGTTTCCAAAGAACTCTGGACAAGGGAACAAAGTAAAGATGGAACATGCTGTTATCTACAGTATATAACCCAAAGATAGTTCTTCGAAGTAGTCCAGACAAGAAGCACAACCATGAGTACTAACTGTATCTTTATTGTAAGGTTACATCAACAGAATCTTGCAAGACTGAAAGTATTTCTCCCCTCCTTTCCTCTTGCTCTCCGGGAAACTAGAGAGGGTCTCTTCTGAAATGATTCCCACACCCCTCTGGCATCTTTTACATGCCAGTTGCTCAGTTTGTGGCTCTTCCTCCTGTCTCCCAAGGTCATTCCCACATACCATTACAATAGGTTCTCCGTGATTACATCTGGAATATGCTTTCCAAACAATCCTTGGAGATGAGTACGTTATTTGATACTTTAGAATGCACTATGAGACCTGTTCCTTCTAAACAGGTGACACCATGTCTGTGATATACAGCGAGGTGGCTGCCGATGAACCAACTACCAACAGCTTCTGGATGGTGAGTAGCTGATACCAGGACCAGGAAGCAGGAGGGGAGGAGCTGCAAAGGGGTTTTAATTTGTGCAGTATGTTTGACTCGTTTACTGAGGTTGCCCCTTTTAGATCTCCACAATAGCTTGAATCTTAAACTCACCAAATGGGCTGAGTTTGCACCACATGCTTAACTACAAAAATACAAAACAAATTGCTTAACTGAGCTGAAACCTATGTTAGCCTGTTATGTGAATAGAGACCGTCTGACCTGGCGGAGCACGTTATGTGAACCTAGCATCTGAGAACTGGGGAAGGTGTCTCGAGTGATTTTATTTATTTATTTATTTATTTATTTACTTACTTACTTACTTACTTACAGTGGTACCTCGGTTCACGAACTTAATTCGTTCTGCAACTCTGGTCGCGACCCAAAGCAAATTTTCCCATAAGGTTCAATGTAATTACGGTTAATCTGTTCTGGCGTGGAGGACAGGGAGGCGGTTACTGCTTGGAGGGAGAGTCCCCCTCCCTACGACCACGTGTAACGGGTGGAAAAATGGCCGCAGACCATGTGTCACGGGCGGAAAATGGCCATGGACCACGTGTAATGGGCGGAAAAATGGCCGCGGACCACGTGTCACGGGCAGAAAATGGCCGCGGACCACGTGTGATGGGAGGGAAAATGGCCGTGGACTGTGTCACAGGAGGGAAAATGGCCGCAGATCCTGTTCGTCACCCGATCCGGCGTTCGTGAACGGAGGCAAAATTTTGCGACCGGAGCTGTTCGTGAACCGAATTGTTCGTGAACAGAAGCGTTCGTGACCTGAGGCACCACTGTACTTACTTACTTACTTAATCAATTTATAGGGCCAGCCATTTTGTAAATGTGATTCTGGGTGGCTAACAGCACATTAAAACAATTAAAAAATAAAATGGAAGATGGTTTTTATGTTTTTTATGCTATTGTTTGTTTGTGTTTGTTGTAAAAAATAAAAAAATTATTAAAAAAACGATTAAAAAAAAACAATATTAGCAAGGAATTTTTAAAAAATGGTCACGGAGGATAGACCCAAATAAAGCATTTAACAGAGACCTCTCAATAGGCCATCTAACTTCCCAACCCTCACTTCCATTCAGGGTTTCAGTGCTTTATGGAGGGCCAGGGCAAATCTGATCTCGGGGGTATGGTGTTCCAGAGGGCAGACACTGAGAGAAAATGCACACTTTCTAGGTCCCATAAGATGACTTTCTTTGAAGGGATTTAGAGTGTGCCCCTCCTGTCAGACCTAGTGGGGTGGGTAGAAACAACCAGGGAGAGGCAGTCCTGCACAGAACCCAACCCCATATCATGCCCCATGCTGGCTGGGGAATTCTGGGAGTTGAAGTCCATCCATCTTAAAGTTGCTGAGGTTGAGGAACCCTGCTCTAAAGGTAATGAAGGCATATCCAAGTTGTAGGCTAGATTGGAAAGTTAAAAAAAATTAGAAGAAAGCAGTAACAGTCCCAAATAGGTGTGAAGAAGATTACATTAGGACGTCCACAATCCACTTATTCAAGATTTCCCTTTCTCTTAATGTGGATTTTTCATGATCTCCATCACCGCATGATTACTTGATCTTAAACAGGGGAAAAAAGAACTTGACTAAGGCAAACTTCCATATTAAAATTTTCTGTTATGTCTGGCCATGTTCCCCCTAAAGTTTTTAAAAATAAAGAAGTAATGGCTTAAAAGCAATGTTTCTTGCACTTCAAACTAGCTACTCATACTTTAGCCTAATGTGTTGAGTGAACCCAACGCATAATTTATGGTTCTCTGTGGTGTGCAAATTCAGAGAATTGGGTTAATTGAGTATGTTGTAATTTGGTAAATTATGGATTAGCATGTTGTGCAAATACATCCAGTTCTGAAAACACATTTATCCTATTACCCCATATTCTTTTAAAATAATTAAAAGTCACAGTACCTAATTTATGCTTGTTTTTCTGGAACACTTAATGATAGTACTAGGGATTCACTATTTCTCAAGAACCTCAAGGAGGTTGGTTTGATTCTGGTTGGAGTCTACAGGAGGTAGAACTAAATGCATTAAATGATAGGCACTGTTTTGAAGGGGAATTCCTGCCCTACCAAACTGAGACCACTCCCCATCTATTCCCCCCCCATCCCTTCTCCTGCAGCCCAATCACTACCAGAGCACAGTAAAACGTCTGGATGATGGGTACCGTGTCTGTGACCAGATTGTAGCCTGTTTCCAGGAACGGGCAAAGATTGAACGTAACTATGCTTTGATGATGGAGGAATGGACTCGCAAGTGGCGGCCCCTCATTGATGCAAGTGAGTGGTTTGGTCCTTTTTCTGCTGATCTTCCAAGTTCTGTTCTGCTTTAAATGCTGATTTCATCTGAAAGAATTGGGGGTCAGAAAAAGCTGGTAGAAATATATGTTCTAACTATATGTTGGTATTCTTGCCATTTTCTTCGAGATCAAGGCCAAAATCTTACCACACCTAGAACATTTATTCTCAAGTTATTTACAACATTACTAGAATGCTTTGTAAACCCAACTCTGCTCCTTGTGTCTATGATGCTGGCCTTGTCTCCTAGTTCTGAGTTATGCAGTCTTATCCTGGGTTGTTGTTGTTGTTTTTTTCTGTAGGCAAAGCATCAGCCAGCCACAAAAATAGAAGACAACATAGGGAGTCAGGAGAATTCTTTATTATGCCATGAGCTGTTATTTGGTCTTTTCTGACTTACACTTCACCATTGCCCAAAATCACTCTTGCAATCTCTTTCCTACCATGTCTCCATGGTGCTGCTTTCAACTTGTCCCCACCTCAGGTGTGAAACAGTCTTATCATTCATAGATGTAGTGGTATTAAAAGGCATTTCCCCTTTATTCCAACATCATTCAAGGACAGCCTCGAAGTATATAAAATCAGTTAGGCTTTGCCACCCATTATCTTGGAGGGAGGTTTGCAGTGAGTGCAACGACTGGGAATGGAGGAAATAAGGGACAGCAAATGTTATATAGTTTCCTACAGACCTCATGGATATAAAATACTTCAGCTCATCAGTGGGGAAAGTCTCTTTTTCTCCATTTCAAGATCTGAGTTCCAGTAAAGTTTGCTCTTGCTCACAAACGTTCAGCTCTTCCTTTTTATTCCTAGAATATACTGTGGAATCATTTCAAAATACTGTACATTCCAGGCAAATTCTCTTTTCAGCTTTTCCAGTATTGTTCTATTTTTTCTGGATGTTGATATAGCTAGTTATAATAATGGAATTTCCTAAAACCAGCACCAGCTGTAACTTCAAAAGATAGGTAGATAATTCCCATGATATGGGGCTGGGTGATTTTCTTCCTTTGAAATAATGATTTTATCTTGATAAGGGCTATGGGGAGGTAGGTATTCTTGATGAGATGGTAAGATCTTTGCTCTGATGCATACAGAAGAAACTGTTTATTCCATGGATAGTTGCTGTTGACAGCCAATGCAGATGAAAAGCAGAACTTGCCTTCTAAAAGTTATCTAAGAAAATCTAGATGTTTTGTATTTTAGAGACTTGTCCTGTAGCATTTTAACTTCTATTATATGAGAATGCCATTACAATAATGTTTTGTTTTCTTTTGTTTTTTCACATACCTGAAGCCACAGTCTTGAGCAATTATTAAAATGCTGGGACTCATCTGCAAATAATTCAGGATAAATATATAGATTTTTAATTGCCTAGCGTATGGCTATCTTCTAGAGTTCACTTGATGTCATTCCACAAGGGTGCCATCATCATGTTATTATATACCATAAACCATAGATGGGTAGTCTGTGCCCCAGTATTCTTTATTCTGTGGTTAGGAAGTGCATTTTAACCCACAAGTATCCTGCCAAAAGTCAGTAATAAATGTTGCACTATATAATATTGGGAGGCCCATTTTTGTAGCCTGTATGCATAGCTGAAATACCTGGTATAAAATTCATAGCTGCCAGTTGGCCAGTGGTGTTTCCAGCATGCGATTAAACTAAGTCAAGCTGCCAGCTGGGATGGTGCAATCAAAACACCATGATGCATTTAAAAAACAGGCAGAGTTTCAATCACACGGTCACAGCTGCCATCTTGACTTTTTTAACCATACCCTGTGGACACCTCCTACAGTTGCCCTTATAGTTGCTGTATCATTTATCTGGTTGGTTCAGTTTAAAGTTTAGAGCAGGGCAATTTTCTGTCTACCAGCCTCAACATGGACCTCTGCCCACCCTCCCCTTCCATGCCTTCACATCTGTGTCAGTGGAGAAAACGCTGCATATGGCTACAACAGAGTAAAAGCTGCCACTAAAGTCAATTTTTCAGTGACTTCCCTACCTAGATCACTTCTCCAGTTCTCCAGTTCCCCAATAAAGCATCAAGGTTGCATTCTTCGAATTCACGGGAAATCATTTGTTCTCAATTTTGCTGCAGTGAGGGAATTTATGAAATCTTGCCATTCCTTACCCCTCTCCCCCCACTTCTAGGCCCGGCATATGGTTCCCTACTCCGGGCATGGCAAGCTTTCCTGGGAGCTTCCGAGCGGTTGAGCCGACTACACATGGAGATGCAAAGAGCTTTGGTCTCTGAGGATGCTGGGCGCATTCGAAGCTGGCAGCATGACTCCTATCACCGCAAGCTCTTTGGGGGCTTCAAGGAGGCTTGTGAGCTAGAAAATGGTTTCCAGCGGGCTCAGAAACCCTGGACTAAGAAGCTGAAGAAGGTAGGAGGATCCTGACCTTTGGGAGTTCTCTAGGAGCAGAGAAGGGTAAAGAAATAGAGCAGTGTTCCTCAACCTCAGGAACTTGAAGATGTGTGGACTTCAACTCCCAGAATTCTGGGAGTTGAAGTCCACACATCTTCAAGTTCCCAAGGTTGGGAAACGCTGAAATAGAGGAATAGGATCCAAGGATTCGGGTTTGTTTAGGAAGAAGAAGCCCGGTGGACCAGGTTTATCTTTACTGGGAGCACGTATCCCTCTTCCTCTTTGTCCCTGATCCCTACCCTTTGCCAATATGAAGCAATAGAATGAGGTTGGATGGAGGCTTCAATTTATGAATAGTGGGAGGTTGGCACTGGCTGCTTATACAGAGGACACGTTGCCCTCCCACTGACTGGGGCTTTGAGGGACTCCATAAATTAAGAGTATATGGGAACTAAGAACCAGGATGTCTAGGACCACTGGTTCCAAATGCTGCGACTTTTCATTCCCTTGCCTTCCTCCTCATCCTCTTCAACTCCTACCTTCAGACAGAGAAGGCCAAAACTCTGTATCACAAGGCCTGTCGCAAACAGCACATTGCAACACTGCGGGAGAGTGGAATTCAGGCAGCATCAGGGGCTGAAGTATCTCCAGATCGACAACGTGCTCTGCGGGAAGAACATCAACGTTGTAGCCAAGAAACTAATAAGGTAGGGATTTTTTTCCTAACTCTCCATCTTCTTATTGGTCCTGGCTGGTGGGGCAATTTGTCAGATAGGCCAACTACATTGGCCAAAATTCTGCCTGGTATGTCCATCTATTATATGCTACTGCAGTGTTTCTCAACCTTGGCCACTTGGAGATGTGTGGACTTCAACTCCCAGAATTCCCCAGCCAGCATACTGGTTGGGGAATTCTGGGAGTTGAAGTCCACACATCTCCAAGCGGCCAAAGTTGAGAAACACTGTGCTACTGTCAGTCCCACCATCGGCTGGCCGTTTTCTTCTCTTTAAAATATAAAGCAGGAACAGAGAACTACAGTTCCCAGCATTCTTCATGATTGACCAGAGTGGCAGGGGTTGCTGTGAGTTATATTTTAGCAACATCTGAAGAGCCAATGGGTCCCTGACACTTTTATCGGATTATTAATTGACTGGGTTGGGGGTCGGGGGGAACATGTCCTGCTCTTGGGCTTTCAGTAAAGTGTTTTCTCTGTGCAGCAATGACTGAGATCATGACTGAGATCCCTTGCTAATGTCTGGGTAATGTTTGGGGCTTTGGGGACTTAGCTGGAATTTAAAAAATCCACAAAGATTTAAAGCAAACAGTTTTTCTTTTCTTTTCCTTTCATTGGAAATGCAATTATGCAGAACAATATTGTTGTTGCCTGTGTGCAGCAAGCTAGATACAAAATCTGTCTGAAGAAGAACAATGTGACCATTTAATATTCTGGGTTGGGTTCAAAGAGAAAATTAAATAATTATTGCTTGTACATTTTTCAAGTCAGCTAATTCAACCTCCGTTGAACGCATCAAGATGTTGGGTGTGCAGAGGTTTTCATCCACAGCTACAGAACAATAGGAGCAAGTTACAAACATACATTACAATTTGAGGGATAAAATTTTACACAAATGTTGCATGTACAAGAAATATCAGAGATACAAACGTTATTTTTAATTTTTTTTCTTTTTAAAAAAAGAAAAAAAAACGAACAAGCAAAGAACAAACAAATGTTATTGACCATGCTGTTGCAAATCATTTTTTTCAACTCTTGGAGAACTGTTCCGTTCCTACATACCGTAATCTTACATAAAAGCTGGAGTGTCCTCACCAAAACTGCCCCGAATATTACAAAATATTGGTAACCTCATCCCAAGATCTCACAAGATTTCAGAAATCTCATGAGACTGCCAGAATCTTGTGAGATTTGATGAACTTGTAAAAATTCAGCAATTACAGACACACACACACACGCATGCACCTATTAAACCCTAATTTAATTTGGAGTTCTATGATGTGATTTGGGTGGGAGTGGGTATTCTAACACCCACAGGGACTGTGTTGCCAACCCCGATCTATGTCCACATCTTATATTCATTCAGGTTCCCTGATCTAAGGCAAGACAGAACCCATAAATCCTATTTAGCTCCCCAAAGCTGATGGTTTTCTTCCTCCCTCTCCCTGTTATGGAGCCAAACCAACCAGTCTGGGTACAACAGGCCACAAGGTGAAGGAGGTGCAGGTGAAGGAGCATTGCCTCATCCAAGAGATCTGGGAACATGTGCTTAGGGATGGTGATCCCAAAGATAGGAGAATCTAAAAGCACGTGAATTTTCTTGACTCTGGTCAACAGGTGCGGGAACGCTACGAGAAGGCCCTGCAGGAGCTCGACCGTTGCAGCCCCCGCTACATGGAAGAAATGGAGGCTGTGTTTGAGCAGGGGCAAGCTCTGGAGCAGAGGCGGATTATCTTCCTCAAGAGTGCTTTCCTCGCCCTGCATCGGCGCCTTGACATCACTGCAGATTCCAGGTGTGGAAAAGGGAGCCTTGAAGCCTCAATGCTATATAACGCATACAGCTAGCGTCACATTATTCAGATCCATTTGCTAAAATGAAGAAGCTGGACTTGGTGGTATTAAGCTTCATACAGCAGGGTTTTCTCTCATGGAAGAAGCCCTTTCTCACAGAAAGGGGTGGTAAGATGGACACCAGGGACATTTTTTAAATGTATTTATGCAATTTATTTACTCCCTCTATCCTCATGGATGCCAGATATGGATTATTGGCTAAACGAATGAGTTCACTCCTCCAGAGGTGCAGTATCACCATTTGCCATTAGATGGTGACCTCAGGGTGACCACTGAGGAGGGATCAAAAAAGTCAAGGTGCCAATTTTGATTGCACAGTCGAGGCCACTACCTTGACTTTTTTGACCGCCAGATGACTGATGCTTCCTTTGTCTCCTTGAGTTTATCTATCCACAGGCAGCTGTGGATGTCCTCTGCTGTTTTTACCAGAATGTCACATTCCACACAAGCACTTGTAATGGATTTACAGTGATCTATTCAGAAGATGCTTCCGGATGGATGCTTTCATGCTATTGTAGCCCTAGCTGTAACTTTGGAGTCAGTCCTGGGTTTAACAACTCCTTCTCCATAGAGATCTGCCTACCCTGTAGGATGTATTCTCATCATTTCCAACCTTCCCACCAATAGGGGAACTCATTGGGGTTACTGCCATTCCTCCTGCAGCATCCAATTAGAAAAAAACCCAAACCCACCTCTTAATGTCAATGTTTTACAGCTTTTACCAATATTATTAGGAAACAACGTGCAAGCACATTAATGTTATACTAAACGGTTGAATGACTCGTCCAGTAACTAAACAACTCTCCTTCCCCACCGTTCCAAAATGTGCTCATTCTTATTATCTCTGTCAGTGTCTCCTGCAGCTGGTTACTTGCTGCTGGTTTCATGGCTCAGGTCTTCCATCTCCCCTTCTCTCATCTGAGCATCTTCTCCCTCTTGGGCTACCTCTCCAAACTTCTTCTCAGCTTCTCATAAATGAAACTTCCAGTTCTTCATACCACATTGACCCCACCGCTAATTGGTTATGTGATATTGATTGATTGACTGATTGACTGATTGTGCCATCAAGTCTGGCTCCTAGTGACCACATTGAGAGGTTTTCTCCATGACAACGTACGCCTAACCTATTCCTGCCTTCACCACTTCTACCAACAAAGCCTCCATTCTATCCCCCATCTCATTGCCTGATCTTTAGAACTGGAGCTACTTAAACTATACCTTGGCATGTCTCCCAGGAAAATCTTATCTCTTCCCAAAAGATATACCTCCATTTGCCTCCCACCCATCTGATCCGTTTTCCTACATCCTACAATCTAGCTACTAAAATTGCAACTTTAACCTGCCTTGCCTTGTAGCCAGCATTCCTGAAAAGCACCAGGTTGTGCTATCAATCAAAACATAAGACTGTTCAATCTTTCTCTCTTAGATATTTTTTAATGGTTGGAAAGCACAGGAGAATTACATGTGGAAAATGTTGCAACTCAGTACATCCTGTAAAAACCTGTAATCAGTTTCACAATATTGTAAAAGCCTTGAGGGAAGCATCCTCAGTCAGACTTGTTTTGCCCACACTGCTCCAAACTGGGAAAGTAGTGTGTGTGTGCACGCGTGTGTGTTTTGTAATATTCTTCTCAACTGTATTTCTCCTTTTCTTCAGTGTCCAAGCTGTTTATAGTGACTTGCATCAGGCCATTGAGGAGATAAATGACCAAGAGGACCTTAAGTGGTGGCGTAATCGACATGGACCAGGAATGGCCATGAACTGGCCAAAATTTGAGGTGGGAACAATTTCTTCTTTAATGGTAATAAAACAGCATTCTCCATGTTCTGAGAGTCCTTCCTGTTTCCATTTATGCACAGAGAGAAAATGTCCCAACATAATAATAGTTCCCCATAAGAAAAAGAGAAATCCACTGTTTAGTTGATTCTAAATCCAGATACCCTCACTTCTCCATGCTGTTTTTTCCATCAAAAACAAAGCGTTCTTTATCTTCAGATCCTTCAGGCTGGCAGTCAACTACCGTAGTGTTTGTTAACATTCACCATGACACAACAATTCAGCTGGTAGCTAGGAAAGTATTTCAGATTGTCTGATAACCACAATCACTTCATTTGTCCCTTTTTTGACAAGTTAACAAAAGTACTTTGGAAGAGGTAAAGATTTTTGCTTTCAGTCAACATCCCATTCACACCTCTTACAATTGTGGCTCAGGGCCATAAAAATGAAATTATGGGTTCCAAAATTACAGCTAAACCCCACAGCCTGTTTTCGGAATGGTCATTTAATTAATTATGCCATTTACCTTTGTATTTCGTTTGAGGTTAACTATAGAGTTTTACTGTAAAAAGCTTCTGGGCACCAAATGGAACATAAAAGACACCTAATTTTGGATAGTGCACACCTACATTCTTCTCTAGGATTTTCTAAGTCGGGCAAATGGTGCCCAGTTGAAGGAAGGCTTCAAGAACCTTCAGTATTTACAGCCTTTGAGAACTAGTGACTTTTCCAGACAAGCAAGTCAAGAGGCAAATTGCAACACAGTGCTGAAGATTGTTGGGAGCTAAAAAAAAAAAACAAAATAAATTGTCCAGCATGCTTTGATGGAAACTTTTCTCAGGGGAAATGTATGATTTTATTAAAGCGCCATACCTCTTTCAATACTTTTTTGGAAGCGCAGATCTTATTCTTCTCCTTTGGAGTAGCTGCCAGCCATCTCTTGAGATACTTTTTGGCTTGAAAACCCGCTTCTCCCTTTTTGAAAATATGATCGTGTTTTTCATGCTGTGATGCTTAGAGCCCTCCTGCAGGTAGCTGACAGCTCCAGCTACCCCAAAAGGTACCCCTATCCACAGTGTTCTGCAGTATTTCAACGCTGCCCTTTTGATTCCTAACCACTTTCAACTCCTCTCCTTCTTTTTCATGCTGTGATTGAGGCGGCTGTCAAGATGTACAGCCCAAATTCAGATCTGATGTTTCCCCCTCTTCTTCTCCTTTCCCGCTATCCAGAGTTGGAGTCCTGATCATGAGCGGCCACAAGTAAAGGTCAAGAAAACTAAAGAACCAGAGAAAGTGACACCCCACAGTATTTCTCCCTCCCAGAGCTGGTGAGTTCTGTCTTCCCCCTTCTTCTTCCTTCTCTCACTCTCCAAAATCAGTGAAAGAGCTAAAGCAACAAAATAATGCTGGGCAATGTGTACCTTGTAGGGTCCGTCGTGCAAACTCAGTAAACCTCATTGCTTTAGGATAAAAGGACCTGTCCTTTTAAGCAGGGTTCCTCAACCTCGGCAACTTTAAGGTGGGTGGACTTCAACTTCCAGAATTCCCCAGCCAACATGGGGAATTGAAGTTGAAGTCCACACATCTTAAAGTTCCTGAGGTTGAGAAACACTGATCTGGGGAATCAAACACTCTCCCTGCAAGAAAAGTCTGGAATGTTTGGACTCTTAACTTGAAAAAAGGAGGAGGGGGTCTGATTGGGTATATGAAATCATGTGTAGTGTAGAAAAAACATTTTTCTCTGTCTCTTAAAGCACTAGGGTCAGAGGTCACCCAGTGAAATTGGAAGGAGATTTAGAACTGAAAAAAGCAAGTGCTTCTTTATAGAGCACATAATTAAAGTAAGGGATTTTCCCCCACAAGATATAGCGATAGCCACAGATTTAGATGGCTTTGAAAGGAGTTGGGTAAGAGCAGCTCTATCAAGGGCTTTTAGTCTTGAAGGCTATATTAGTTCTGGCATGGGGGCATCAAAGGAACAACAGAGAGGGGGAGGAGCAAGTACTTCAGAAACATATGGCTGACCGCCATGGGAAGCTTTGGTGTGATACAGCAAGGCTGTCCTTATGTTCTTAGTTAGTGATCAAGACCCTATTCTGCTGGAATTCTTGCAACCTCGTAAAGTAAGTGAATAATACTTGAAGGCAGCCGGAAGCGTATAATCAAGAAAGGGTGATTTGCCTAAAGCCATGTACTTATCTGATTAGCACATCCCATTAATCCACAGTTTGCTTAATCATGATTTATTAAATAAGCCGCATTTGGCTAGGTTCAAACTCCATGCTGAGCCATAAAGCAGAATTTACAAAACAGGATGGCTGGATAAACACCATGTGTGTGTTTGGTTTTGGCTTGGTAGCTGTGGAAACCCACCTGTTGAATTTCATGACCCAAAAAACATTTGAACCAGAGCCGCCCTAACTGATAGCCTAGTCATTATTAGCCACATCATGCAACATTACCTTCCTCCAACGTACGGTATGTGTCATATTTTTCATTTATCATTTACTATATATGTACACATGGAAGTGAGAAGGTACCTTGAGCAAAGTCAAGGATGCTTTGAAAGTCTTGGATCTAATGAAGTCTCTTCTCTTCCCAAATGCCATCCCTGAGTTGCCTTTGGCTACAGGGCCCGCGTTGCCCTTCAACCTGCTTGGATGGCGAGTTCTTTGAGACATTTCCACTTGTCTACACATGGGGCATTTTTATTTACTTCTGAAGGCATAAAGCTTCAGTTGACCTGAAATGAGAACACCAAAGTGAGGTCAGTCAGAAAATATGCACTTCAAAAATAGCTCTCCTTTCCACAATCTTGTGTGTTAACTTCTTTCTCTTTTAGCACAAGAGGACTGAAATGGGCATGAAAATGGCAGGACAGACCCACGATCCATCTCTTGATATTTTTGATTTGCTACTTAATAAAGCATCTCTAAGAATCTGTGCTTGATAAGAGGGGGAACATTTGATGGCTATGCAATACATTAAGCCCTGACATGGTTAGCTGGTTTTGTGTACTGTGGTACCCATCCAAATGTGGTTTATTCATTTTAAAACTGTGTCTTGACATAATATATGAAGTCAACTGTTTTGGTTTGGGGCTTAGCTTCTTGGGTGGACCTAGCCAGCTGTGATTTATTTAATAAACCATTATTTTAAAATAGTTCACTGCAATGTACATGTCACATCTCTATGTATATGTTCACATGTATATTTACATATTTCTTGTTGTGCCATTATTATAGTATGGCAATCCTCCAAAATAAGTATTAGGCCCACTAGAGAACAATGCAGAAATCATAACTATCTGTCCCAACAGCAGCTCCACAGTGGGGATGTGGGTTTGTTGTTATGTCATGGAGTTCACCTTCTACGCAGCTTGTCCTTCTGCAGTCAGATTTTGAATCTCTGGAAAATGCTTTTCAGGAAAAAAAAAATTAAACATTAGTATCCAGACCTGAATCATCTGTGGTTTGATCCAAAGAAAACCTTCTGAGTGCCCTTTTAAGTATTCGGCAAGTTTCATAATATGTGATCCAGAGTAAAGGACATGAATATAATAATTAAAGGGAAGAGAGATTTACTCTCAGTTCCGGTGCTGTGGTTATAGCATGAGTGCCAACAAGTAGCCAGTACTTCTGGTCTGGATTTAGTTTTATTTGGAAGGCGGTCTTTCAGCTTGTGGCATTTTATAAAACTGTATTTACAAACATTCAGGCTGAGCTTAAATATTCATGAGTCAACCAAATCCACTCTACAGTACAATCATTTTAGAAATTCGTGCTGATTACTTTTCTGCGGTAGGTGGTTTGAACGTTTATGATTTACTAAAAAAACACATTTTCCAAGGAATTGAGACTTAAGTTTGTTTTCAGGGTGTCAAGGAATATTTGATGACTGATGTTGCTTCTGTACTTCTCTTAAGAGAGCAAATATCCATTCTGTGACGCAGCACTGCAGTTACAGAGCTAAAATATATTCCTCTCTGCTTAACTATGTCAATGACACTTGGCAAAGATATGGGAGCAGGGAAGCTAGATGGAGAAGAATTCTCACTTCAGAATTAATCCTATTCTCAGTGTGTATTGAGACAGGAACCACTCTTCCCCAAGAATAAGCTTTTCCCCTCTTACCAAGGGTACCAGGTCCAAGCAGTTTTGGAACATACGATGCTAGATGACAAACCCAACACTGGAATAATCATGAAAAGAACTTTTAATTTAATGAAGGCCACAAAGTAAAGATTTGAGGGAACAGTTTCTCTGCAAGAAGTTATATGAGGCTGAGATCTGCTTTCCAAAACAGTAATTTGTAAGTAATCCAAGCAAACAAAGAGACAGAGGTCCAGAACTGGAACGTAGATAAAACTATCCTTGAAAAAAAAAAGAAAGATCCCTCACAAGACTAACTTTAAGCAGTCTCTGCTAATGTTACCCTACTTCCTGGGTTTTTAGATATTAAATCTGTTCTTAGGGACCTGGAGATCCATGTCTCTTGCAGGCATCCAGCCAAGACTTCCTGAAACAAAGAAACTAATCCCCAACTTCCTCTCCCTGGAATCTCATCCTAGAAAGACGATTCCTGTATTTACAGAGTCCTTAAGAGAGTTCAGCTAGCTAGAGGCCACCCAAGATTAAGAGTCCCTTTAACTATTTATAAATCTTCAGTCCTTTGTCAGTTCCTAAATTTATGATTTTCACTCACATGATAGAGATGAACAAATGCTGACATTTGCAATAGACCAGGCTCCACAGAAACCCAGATGTGTGCCTCCATTTGGCCATGAAATTCATTTGATGGTCTTCAGTAAGTTGTGTCAGATCTGCTTCACACATCACATTAAGCTATAATATAATTTGCTTACTTGTGGTTTATCATGTACATTGCCTTAGCCTCTTGGAGGATAAGCAAGAAGAGCAGAGTAGGTGTAATAAGCAAAGACTAAACAAAACTTATAGTTTGGTCACATTCTCCCTCCTTTCCACAGTCCCAAGCCAGCACCCGTGCCAACAGCAGGCCAGCGGGTTCGTGCCGTGTACGACTATATTGGCCAAGAAGCAGATGAGCTAAGTTTCAAGGCAGGTGAGTGTTGTCTTCATAATCCTTCCGCCCAATTTCATTCTTCCATTCATCTCTGGAAGGCTGGTTAGTATTAAAATGTATCTGAATCTGTTCCAGGTCCCTTGCTAAAAGTGACTTTGGTTCCCTTCTCTCGTCATCTACATTCTTCCATACTCTCTGTTTTCCTATAAGAAGTTCTAAGGATGGGAATGGGCAACCAATTTTTTAGGGATTTCTGGTTATAAGGGTGATGGGTACAGCCTTTCTCACCTACCATATCCTTTTTCTTCTCTACCATAGTGGTCAGGATCAACTGAAAATAAGCCTGTCTCTCCCCAAGGCTCCTCCTTTCAGCTTAGTTACAGTGCTATCCACCAGCCCTTCAGCTGGCAGAAAACTATACCAGCATAACATTTGCTGTCCCCACTGTCGAACTTTATTCTGCCACAGGAAGAGTGCCATTAAACCGCATCCTCACTGACTGTGAACTAAGGAAAGGACATGGGGATTCCTCTGACTTTATTTCTGTCTGTCCCAATAAACATATCAGCCAATGGGAAAACATCTACCAATCACTGCTTTTTTATTATTATTATTATTGAGACGAAGAAAAAAACCCATAGAAAGTGCTTTAACAAAAAAGTGAAAGAAATACAACAAAGAAAAAAAACATGTTAATGTGTCATTATAACAGTAAACAATTACAATTCTATATATAGTTAACTAAAGCAAATATTATTCAAGTACATACAGAATTTCTAATATATTTATATGACTATCATGTTTTTTTAACCTGGTTTTAATAGTCCTTTTCTATACAAATGTAATGGAGTCCAATAAATTCTCAATATTATTTTTTGTTGTATAAATCATAATTTGAGATCTGTTGACACTCTTGCTATAGAAGTTAAGACACTCTCCCATTGTCTAGACAATATAAGAACCTCTAATTCTTTATTCCACTAATTTCTTAACATCTGTGTATCAAATTGATTTATTGATACCAAATATCTATAAAAATCAATAGTAGGGTTTTTTGTTTGTTTGTTTTTAGTTTTAAAGGGTTTAACAGATTGTTCTAATATCTAAGGTATCTCAGAAGCTGAAAATGCTACTGGTCCAAACAATGTTGTTAACAAATGTTGTAACTGTAAATATTGTCACTGGGTTACATCTGATAGATGATATTTATCTCTTAACACAGAATATGTTAAAAATGCATCTTCATCATCTATCAATTAGTCCAAGGTCAATATCCCCACTTCCATCCAATTTTTACATATCACCATCTTTTTCCCAATGTTTAAAGTTGAGTTTCCCCATAAAGTCAATCTGGCATGGGAAAAAGGGTCAAATCTTTTTTTATTAGACATTCCATTCCATAGCTTTCTAACTAACGAAATTGTTTCCAGAGATATAAGAGTTTTAGTATATTTAGATCCTCATACTGTCCATCCAACCAAAGGTGCTATATATGTATATTCCAAAGTTGTCCAGAATGGAAAATTAATACCAATAGTTGACTTCCAGTATTTAATATTTGAAATAGGTAGGCATGATGATATAGGACCAATCACTGTTCTTGAATGTGTTGGGGCTGGGTAGCAGGTGAGTGTTGACAGATAACTAGACCAGAAGTGGGATTCTGTCAGAAATTGTAATAGGGGTGCAGGGTATTAGCGCTGCAGGTTAGCGCAGACAAGAAGCACAACCAGGAGTGCCAGCTCTACCTTTACTGTAAGGTTTTTGGGTTTTGGTTTTGGTTTGTTTTTTGTGCCTTGAGTCATTGTTGACTCTTGGCAACCACCTGGACTAGTCCCTGAAGTTTTCTTGGCAAGATTTCGGAAGTGGTTTGCCACTGCCTGCTTCCTAGGGCTGAGAGGATATGACTGGCTCAAGATGACCCAGCTGGATTCGCACCTAAGGCGAGACTAGACCTCACAGTCTCCCAGTTTCTAGGCTGGTGCCTTAACCACTACACCAAACTGGCTCTCTATGGTAAGGTTACTTTAATGGAATCTTGCAAGATTGAAAGTATTTCTCCCCTCCTTTCCTTTTACTCTCTGGAAAACTAGGGAAAGTCCCTTCTGAAACATTTCCCATGCCATACCCCCTTCTGTGGGCTGAGATATTTTTTACATGCCTTTGGTCCCGTCTGAGGCTCCCTCCTGTCTCCCAAGGTCATTCCTTCATACCATAACAGGTGACAGGAGAAAGGGGGAGCTCTATGGAGCTGATTGATTGGCCACCTGGTGGGTAAAGAGTTGGCTCCCTCCCTCCCCTACCACTCCACCCAGCCTGGGGACCCACTGCTAAGGCTGAGAGGGGTGGTAGGAGAAGAGGGGAGCCAACTCATCATTAGGATTGCTGGGAGATAGGCTAGACTTAAACTTTATTCATCCCCACCCTTGCTGTACCAAAAATTGCTGTATCTTCACTACAATTGGCTGTAGGAACATTTTAATTTGGATTTGCACATGGGAGGTAAGATTAAAGCATTCCTCCCTCTTGCTTCTCATAACCCTGTTGAATATCCTGTGATGCTGTTGCTAATGGGAAATCTGTTCCCCTTTGTCCAACTGATGGCTGGATAAAGTGAGTTGAGCTCCTTGGGCCCTGAGAGAGTGACCAAGGATCTTCTCCTCCTTTTTATGGGGAGAGGGGAACACTAATAATATTTATGAACAAGGCAGGTGTCTTACAAATCAGACATAGAAAGCAAGTATCATACCTGTTCCTACCAGCATCAGATTTGTTACCATATACCAGCTCTCCAAGATGCTTCAAGCCTCAGCTAACTGGCATTTCGGTCTCTTGTTCCAGAACATAGACTCATGCACACACGTCTTCCTTCATTCCCTCCTCTTACCCACGAAGTCTCAGCAAGGCACATGTGGCTCATTTTCTCAAAGCTGTGAGGACTGATTCTCAAGAGATCTTTCCCAAACATTAGTTCTCCTTAAGGAAACATCAATACCCTGGGCCATTAACAAGCAATCTTCTGAACAAAGGCATGGCTAGCCAGCAACCATAATGCTATTGTTAAAGTATCGTAACACCCACAAGAACAACAAGTTTAGCTACAGTTGCCTACTAGTAGACATAATTGAATTGGTGGGCATGCTGGCTCCCTTGAGCAATATCTAACCTGAATTGGGAATTAAGGGAGTTACAGTCCAACATATCTGAAGGGCTCTAGACTGGGAAAGACAACTCTAAAATCTGACTGATTTCAGTCTTTCAGTTAACGAGAATAGGTTGGGTATTATAATTGCTTGTTTTCAACATGTTAGAACTTATGATGAGATGGCTGGCTTTGAAATTTTATATAGTTCTCTTTTTATTTTATTTAAAATTAATGTTAAAAAAGATGCAGAGAGGAAGATGAAGAAAAAGGATGCGATGAACAAAACAACTAAAAAAAAGATGTTATTACACAAATCTTCTATCTTGCTCTTTTGTTAGAAAAAAACAAAACAAAAATCCATTGCCGTAAATCAGGTGTAGAGTTTTTCTTCCAGTATTGTATAATAATTCTTTTGATAAGTCTCCATCCTTATAATATCCACCTTTTGCCTTAATAGATTCTAAATTAATCACTGGAAATATAACCAAGAAGAGCAAATGCATTTTCAATACATAATAATCAATCTAGAATTATATTAACAATCCTACTATTATAAATGTAACAATAACAGGACAAGGCTGGAATTAATAATGGTAGTATTGTTTTATGTATCTATTTTATATATATATATATTCTGTTAATCAGTTTTATATAATAACATTAATAGACATTGCCGTTTTAAAAGATTTTCACTATATACCACTGTACACCATGTTGAAAAAATGTTTCAAAAAGCAGCCTAGAAATCTCTGAGTTATTTTAGAAAATATACCAAACTGTTCTCTGATATTTATGGAGGTTGATGGCAGATCAGTTCACTGACTCAAACTGTATTTCACCCTTCCCATTGTCTGATTTATGAGATCCTCCCCTGCCTTTTCTCCTCAGGAGAGCTTCTTACCAAGCTGGAAGATGAGGATGAACAAGGCTGGTGCAAGGGAGTGACTGACAGTGGACATGTGGGCCTCTACCCGGCCAACTACGTGGAACCCATACAGGGTTAGATAGAATGGGCAAAACCAGGGGGACTTACTCAGTCAATAAAATTACGTCTGTGTATAGTTTGCATTTCTGAGATCACGTTAGCCAATACAGAATGATGTAAAATTCAGTTCCTTCAGAGATTCAGTTGTGTTTTGATAGTCATGGAAGTTTCTAGTCCATGCAGGTGCAAAGTTCATCCTGAAAACTGTGTGGGAAATGCTGGTGAAATCTCAGAAGCTGCAGTGGGTTGGTGGGTGGGGCCACATGGAACCTGACACGTGTGGTTCTGGCTTCTGGCTTCCGCACAGCTTTTTGACCCTCCCTTTAGTTGTAGAATAAATGAATGCAAAGCAAGTCCTCTGAAGCTCCATTTACATAATGTATTCACAGAAAGGTAGCCTTTTGTCTTTTTGAAGGTGGCACAAATTGGTGCCTAGACCTGAATAATAAATACTCAGAAACAACAATGTGTAAAGATGTATCCACCAAACAAATTCCTCCGCATACACACTTGTAACCAAACACACACACTCATGTACCTCAACAGGACACATACATCCGGTCTGATTTACAGCTCCATGTGCCTGCAGATTTTTATCTGCTTACGTAGTTGTTCACCCTTTCTTATCGTGCCTCTAACACACAAACTAACCAACCAAGATGCCTTTAAGCTCTCCTTTGTGCTCCACAGAGACTGAAAGCACCCTGCCCTGAAGGTCTGGTCAAACTTCACAAGAAGCACAACAAGAAAGATGTCTCACAGTTCCACGAATTCTCATGAGTCATATCTTAATCCAAAGATCTGCCATATGTGAGATGGATGTACGTTTGAAAATTGCCCACACACGGCAAGTTAGTGAAGTACGGGAAGTTTGTAGGCCCCAACCACACCATTGTTTCAACACACCCCTGGATGACTGATACTCGGGGAAGACTGCACTCCACCTATTGAAGGGTACTCCATCAAAGTGTGAAAACAAAGCTGACCCAATTAAGATGAATTTGTGAACATCTGTTTTGTTTTGTTTTTTTTAAGAGTAGATATTTTAGCATCTGTGGATTTTGGAAAATAAAGAAATAAATAAGCACGATGGCCAGTTTTAGTTTTCTTTTTGTTTCCAAGCTTCTAGTCTTTATGACTGAAAAGTTAACCTTAAAAATATGTGGGAAGCCTGATGAAATCTGAGACGTAGGTCTGCCTGTGACCTTGCTTCCAGCATCTTATTCTCCCTTTTCCTCAAGGTATCTGTTGCCATTTGAACTGATAACAATCCAACAACTGTGATAAGATACAGTAAGTCATGGCAGCCCCTAGCCAACGTGGTTGATCTCCAAAAGCTAAGTGCAGTTAAAGCTGGTTCGAACTTGGACTGAAAACTATCAGGAAATCCCAGGGCTATAGACTAGACTGAAAGTTGAAAAAAACATGATTGAAGAAGCGCATCTGTATTATAAGAAAACTGCACAGACATGGAGTTACCAGGACTTGAGCTAGGCTCAAAGGAGAACGTGTCTCAGCTGAGTTTCACCTCACAGTCAGCTGCCATTTATTTGCCCATTTCAGATTAAGTAAAACTCTCATTAAAGTTTAAAATATGCATTACAATGCATTTCTGCACCCCAGGAAACATCTAGATTGGTGTTGGCAACTTGAAGATGTGTGGACTTCAACTCCCAGAATTCCCCATGCTGGCTGGGGAAT